TGACGCTCTGCCATGGTTCAGTGTGGCAAGCAGAGGTCCAGGAGAGTTCAACAAGGAAGGTGAATTTAAAATGCTGGTGGAACTGCAACCTTAGAGCTCTGTTGGAAAAAGTTACTCATTTCTCCAGAGAGCTGAGTTCCTGATTCTTGAAAGAAACATGGTCTATGGGAATGCTAGTATGGAAGTCTTGAAGACAGCTAGAAACTCTTAACTGTCTTAACTGCATTGTGAATAACTGAGTGTAATTGGCTGGCATCTAACAGTTTAGTCAGGGCAGCTAAGGTTAGGGTAACACGAGATACACTGGAACACATCTATTTAACTTCTATTTAAGTTCATAAATCCTTGTACAAATGCATTCTCTTATTTTCTCAGGGTGCGTTTGGTAGAGAGAGGTTCTCCACACAGTCTGCCGCTTATGGAGTCTGGGAAGGTGAGAGACTGAGAGCAATCCTTCCTCCTCATGACCCTTACCTGGGTGGTGAGCTGCTTCAGCTGGATCTCAGTACAGAATCTGTGCAATGAGCTTCACTAATCACAGTGTATCTAGGAGAGGCACTAGAGAGAGCATAAAATGAACAGCTAGTTACAATGAAGCCAGGTGCACCAAGTGAAGCAATAGGATATGTTGCTACAACTGGAAAAATCAGAGGCCTTCATGTGGAAGGCATTATTCAGGTGTGAAACAAACTTCAACTGTGAAGCTACAAAATAGCTGCTTAGAGTTTAAATGATTAAACAATTTGGTCGGAGGAGATGGTTGGTATCTATGATGCAGGGAGGAGTAGAAGGGGAAGAATTGCACAGACTGTTGACTTCTGTGGCTCTGCATTATTAACTTTTCTTTTGATGAATTCAAGTTCTCTTAACTTCTATTTTAAACATTTGCTTCTCATTCAAGATTCTTCCAGGGGTGAAGGTCATCATAGCACACACAGAAACCAAGGGACCTCTGGGAGACTCGCATTTAGGAGAGGTAAAGCTTTGATGCTGTTGTACTTTGTTTATCAGCAGTGATTTAATATCTAGATAAATCATGTTAGATAAATGCCTGTCTCTTAGTGGGATGGCCACATAATGTGGCAAGAACTCCACAGAGAGCTGGAACTGTTTACATACTTGTGTGTATGTCTGCATGGTTTCCTCCCTCCTCTACCAAACTACTGCATGCCAGTACCAGGTGATATCAGTTGACTAGTCTGTATGATTGGCAGCTAGAAGAGGCAGTGAATATCTTATGTACTCCCATCAGTGGACAGTAGTAACGAGGTAATTTACTGTTTGGTTTAATAATTGTTTTATATACGTCTGCATTTGTGTATACTAAGATGCCCAACTAATAGAAGATTGCAGGTTAACAGGTGTTCCCTTCCAGTAAGCCAAATGCCTAGTTCATTTTTCCTCTTTGCCATCCCCAATTACACATATATAAAACTCCTTTTTACTCCTTTTTCCTGATCGTTTTCTGTAAGGCAGAAGTTAATTAATTATTTTAATAAAACTACTCCTGGCATTTTAGGAGTAAAAAAATTGTCAGTAGAACAGATCTTTTAAATCAATAAATGATGCTGCCTGGGTCTGGCAAAATAACCTATGTTTATATGGGAATGATTCCCTTTCGTGTTTTGTTTTGGGTTTTTTTTAATGCCCTAGATATGGGTGAGTAGTCCACACAATGCTACTGGTTACTACACAGTGTATGGAGAAGCAGCACTGCACGCTGATCACTTTACTGCTCGCTTGAGTTTTGGAGACACTCAGACCGTATGGGCTCGGACTGGGTACCTTGGCTTTCTGCGCAGAACAGAACTTACTGATGCCAGTGGAGGTGAGAGAAAACAAATGTACTTACAGAAGCATGTGTTTGAAACTCCTTGGGGTAGTTGAGCTAGCGAAGAGTAAGCTGTCCTGCAAGTTCATCCTGACTTCCATTAGAGAAAAGTGCTGAATGTTATAGGAATTGTTACTCTGTACATATTCATTGATTATAATGATACTGGGTAACTGTGCAAAATGAGAAATTCATAATGCCCTTTTGACAGATTTAGAAATCATGTTCTTCATCTTCCTCTATTTCCACTTACACAAAATAATATGAGCACATTTGTTAGAAGCACTAGAGCCTTTCTACTCGC